TTATACTATTCGTTAGTACATGCATAATTCTGAGGATAGGTAGAGCCCGCAGTGATGATTCCTTGAAGATCTCATTCCATCTCTGGGGAACCCAAAGGGATAAAGGGTAATTCCGGAATTTCAATGGCATATGATACGCAAGCTGTGGCGTACTTCAGATGAACCTGGCCTAGGTACCACCACCCGTGAGTCGCAATTTACCATTTTGTCCATGCATAAATCTTTTACGTGTCATTTGCGCGTCAAAAGTCCCATCGCGTGGTCCTCCTAATCTTTCTTTTACGTGTCATGACTTACCATCCTTGTTTTCCGCCCTTTCTCATGCTCTGTTTGGTTGCATCTAGAAAAATAAATGAAAGCGAGAAGGAAAGAATGGACGAGCCATCCTAAAAAGAAAAAAAATATATATTTCTTTTTTTTGTTTGACTAGATGAAATACTGTTAAATGCATGGTACAGATTAATAATAATGAATGTTGTGTCCACCCCCTTCTTTCTTTCTTTCTTCTTCTTTTTTTTTTTTTTTTTTTTTTTTTTCATTGATTGAAAATAAAGTAAAGTGGATTTATCTATTTTGGTTATGACCGAACGATTTAGTGTCGCGAGATATTCTTTGTGATTGGCCTCCGCTATTCTTGTAGTGACTTACCCGGTTCGAGTGGGGAGGTGCCCTTCCGAATTTTCGAAAATTAGTCGGGCTGTTGAGGACTCCAAGCGTTCGTGCTATTCCGGACATCTCGGGTTAATTAAAAAAAAAAAAGTAAAGTGAATTTTATATTATTTATACTAATATGTCCTCTTTATATAAAATTACATATTTATTCCAAATATTTGGGAAGGTTAAAACTAAAAAAAAAAACATATTTGCACAACTATTCCTCATTTCTTTCTCCTCATCACCCCTAATTTTAGGCTAATAAAAATATACAAAGTAAGGAAGGATGCTTGCTTTCTCTCTCTTTTCCTTTCATTCCAACCAAATACAAAAAAACTCATTTATCACTCCCCGCATCAATATGATCAATCCTTCTTAATCCTTCCTTCCAACCAAACCTATCAATTAATTTACTTCGAAACTCTTATTAATTTATATGAGTAAGAATCGATGTGATCATAATAAGGACTAAAAAAAAAATGACGTCAATTCTTATCGTTACTCAAAAAGATAAGAAAAAAAATAGAAGAGACAGGAGAAAATTTATATCCTATCATTTTGTTTACATCTACAAGTGAATAGAGATAGGTGACACATTCTTTTGTTAGATAGGTGACATCTAACAATTAACAATTTAATTTTTTTTGAAGAGTATATCAAACAAAAATTACTCCAACAATCACGGATGTTGTATGGGCTTGCTTGCCCAATAATAATAATAATCATCATCATAAAAAGAAAAACAATTACTGCATCATATGTAGTTAAATATATAAAGCATAAAAAAGTTGAAAACGCATTTGGGAACAAGTTTAACTGGTACAGGTAGGTTTCGAATCCCTTATCTTCTTGTGAAAAACACACACATGGGATATAAGGTTAACTGAGACAGATAAAATGCTATAGCTTCATTCTCTCTCTCTTTTTTTTTTTTGGCTAGGTTTTTAAAAAACTTGGCAATAATCTCCCAATATTTACAATTAAAAATGAAACAAAAAAAAAAAAAAAAAAAAAAACGTCTTTTAGAATCAAAACGGGATTTTCAATGATCTTTACTCCATAATGGGTAATGTTTGTTTAGCTCCAAAAAAGAAGAGGGAGACAGAGAGATTCACCAAATTATTATACATAACAACGACAATTTTTATTTTTATTTTTTATTTATTATTATTATTATTTTTTTTTTCTGTCGTTTCTATTTTTATAGAAAGCTTGATGGAATTTCCGGAAATAAAAGAAAAGCTTTCTTTTCAGTGCTAGTATGATCATATTTTGCAAAATGATCGACTAGCACTTATAAATAGGTCAAAAAAAATATAATTAGTTAATTTACCGTTTGAAGGTACAAATATAGCCATATACACATTCTTGAAAACAGTCAAAACCTCCATGGTATACATCTCTAAAAAATTTAAATAAGAATATTTTTCCTATAAGTGAGCAAGGTGTGTGATATATTCTAATAAAATGAGCCCTATAAATGTGGTCAATGCTCAAAATCAATGAATTAAGAAGATTGATATATATTCATATATATATATATTTCAAGATAATGAACCTGGATTAAATTATCATTCATTTGTCATACATAAGTCACGACCCACATATCTCTTAATTCTATTTTTTTATAAATGAACTTAAGTAGGTTCCTTTTGGAATTACGCCAATCCAATATATTCATTGAGAATTCAAAAGATTAAGTGTGCTTTAGTTTGAAAACAAACTTTTTTCTTTTTACTTTACATAAATATTGATTAAAAAGGAAAGAACTTTAGAGAGAAGGCTAGAAGCCAGAAGCCAAACAAATTCCAACAATAAATACATAACAATTTTATGGTTTTGCAAATAAAACATTTACATAAAATAAATAAAAAGTAAAAGAATAAATAAAAAAGCCAGAGTAAAGAATTAATTATTTATAAGAAGCCAAGTGTTCTTTGCCTCTCTGCGAACTGGAAACTTGGGTTAGAGAGTATCCTAGGATAAAAAAGAGTATTTAAGTAGAATTTGGTGAAACCAGTTTGACGAAGACAATGAATGGAATCTTTCTTTAAAGAATCTTTAACTAGCATTATCAACTTACTTTATTATAAAATCGATTTGAATTGTCAATAAAGTGAACCTTTTTAAGACTTGCTACAGGAGCATTAATGTTTCTATCTCCTAAATGATATATCCCGGTATAGTAATGATGTGACAATTAATATTAAATTATTAATTGATATGTATATATATATTAAATAAATCATTTCTATTAATACGCATAGCCAAAATTTAATGACCTACACACTCCTCAAAGGATTCAAATGTTTGAACATGGATTCGAATTTAAAATAAATGTAGAAATGAGGGGATGTGTGCATTTTCTTCCTTTTCTAATTTGTTTTTGATAAATTGTTTTCCATAGTAAAAATTGATTAAGTTATGTTTGACGAAATTAGAACTTTGATATTGGAAATGATGAAATTGAAAAAAAATAATTCAGAAAATTGAATCAACGTTTTCTCCAATTCCACCAATTTCAAGACTGGTTAAACAAATTATAATTTTTCTTTGTCTTTATACTCATTGATCTCCATCTATTTTAAATTAATTAATATTTTTTTATTTTTTATTGTTTCAAAATTTATGTCAAAAGTTGGTGACTTACCCGTATATACATTTTCTCATCCGAATTTAATGTGTGACAAGTCCCTTTATAACAACCGTCTTTTACAATATTGTGTGGAGAATTTAATTAGTGATTGTCCATGATCAATGGTTTCAAATTGCACAATAATTTCTTAAAAACAAGACTACTTGATAAATTATTACCTCGTATATAATGTGTATTTATTATGCATTGACACAAAAGCAAACATATTAGATGGTATATTTAACCAATAGTTTTACTTTTCAGAAAATTTTCCAAACTATAAATTTTAAATTAGCGTGTTATCTTAAATAGACTGTGAATAATTTTAAAGGGACAAGCACAGAAAATACTCCTAAAGTATACTACGCCTAACATTTTTACCCCTATTTAAAAAATTGTGCAAAAAAAATTCATTATTTTTTTACATTGTGCAAAAATATCTCTCAATCAGAAATCTAACATAATTTAGTGATGAAATATCCGTTTTGCCTTTTTACTCTTCCGAAAATGTCCTCGAGGATATATATGTTACTAGTCTAATAGTATATGGGTGTTATCTGCACATTACCTTATATATATTTAAAACTTTTTTCTTTATATATATCTCTGAACTCTTTTTATTTTTATTTTTGAAACTGTGAGAATTTGTAGAATAAGGATTTGAATTTTTTGAGATTCCAGTTTATTGTTTTCTACAAATTTTTTTTTTTTTTTTTTTTTTCATACCAACACTGTTAAACCAAAAAAAAAAAAATTCCAATATCAATGTGCACTAGTTTTTGGAGTTTGGAGCATATTTATTTTCTTTAGTTTGCACTTTATTTTTCATTATTTATTAATTAATTATTATTATTATTTTTTTGTCAATTTTTGGTGTCCTGCAATAGTGTCATTTTACAAAATTATTTATTTTTATATATTTGATAAAATGGTTCAGTAAGGCTAATTTAGTCAACTTAGGGATTTGTCAGAGACACTTATTTGCTCAAAATTGAAACTATAAGGGTGTTTTTTTGCATGTGAGAGTGTTCTCTAATAAAAATTAGAGTCATTCAGTCAATAGAGTTTTAATTTGTCAGAGGAACCTATTTGTACCAAATTAAAATTTTAAATGTATTTTTTTGCAGGTGAAGGGTGTGATATGCACTGTAAACATAATTTAAGAATATTTTTTACACTTAGATCCAATTTTAAAAAAGAAAAAGAAAAAAAAAAATGTTCACCTTTTTGGCACCAAATATAAACACCTGTCCGCGAATCCAAATAGAAAGACGAGCAACAACTAACTCATTATTACGTGGCAAATTAAGTCCGTTACTGGAATCTCTAATTACAAGGAAACTTCTTCCCACTTTCCTTCAACCACAACAAAATTTTTATTAAAAAATCTATCATCTCATCCCATCCCATCCCATCATCTCGCGATATTTATAGAAAACTCCATCCCCAAACACTCCTTATCGGTTAAATCCACTTTCCACGCGGCGACCCGACGCTGATTCCACTCAGACGAGAAGAATCTCAGTCAGACGCACCAAAGAAATCAATCAAACACTAAAACATAACATTAAAATTCAAAATAAATACTATAAAAAGAGAAAAAAAAACAAAAAAACCCACGAGAAATTGCCACGATATTTAATTCGGGCCCGAAAAGAAATTGGGCCCACGGCCCAATATCCTCCCCTCCCTATATAAATCCCCTTCGTCTCTCATGCAATTCTCGCCCACTCCACATTTGCTTAACGCCTCTCTCTGAAACATATCCCCCAAACCCTGCCCGTCCGTCTCAATTTCCCTCCGCCGTTAGGGTTCCGTCCACTTTTCCTCGTTTTTCTCGCACTTTCCAGCGCACTTTCCGGTCCTTCTCTCGTTTATCTCCACCCTCTTGTTTCTCTTTCTTCATCGCATTCACGTTTTTTTTTTGTAACTTTCTTTGTAACTTTCTCAACCCTTTTAGAGATCTGATCTGTATGGTGAGTTTCGTATTCGGTGTTTAGATTTGTTGGTTGTGTTTCTATTCTTAGCTTTTGTGGGATTTCTTCACAGATTTCTCTTCTTCTGAGAGGTAGGTGTGGGGATTATTGCGATCTGTAGGGGTGAGTTAGGGGTTCGTTCTGTCTACCCAGGTCTCTTCTGCTTCTTTTGAGGGGGTAGCCGGGGCCTCGGCCTCGGCGGGTTCTAAAGCCCCCACCTTTACAACAATTCTTGAAAATTTGATTCTTTAATTCTTCTTTTTCATACCAAAAACAGATCGGGGAAGAGATGCCGGTCCTGGCGTGTAGCGTAGACGCCGCTGCCGCCGTGCCTCCTCTCGGCTATGCCTTCGCTGGCTGGGATAGCTCTCTTCCCGCGCCGGAGCCATTCTCCGGCGTACCTCAGCCGACAAACACAACCAACGCTGCCTCCGCCACCATTGATCAATCCCATTGGTCACCGGCTCACTCTGCCGGACTCTACAAGGTTGACGGATGGGGTGCGCCGTACTTCGCCGTTAACTCGTCCGGAAACATTTCCATCAGGCCGTACGGCACCGCCACCCTCTGTCACCAGGAGATTGATCTCCTGAAAGTTGTGAAAAAGGCTTCGGACCCGAAATCCGTTGGCGGCCTCGGGTTGCAGCTTCCTCTCATCGTTCGCTTCCCGGACGTGCTCAAGAACCGGCTTGAGTCGCTTCAGTCGGCTTTTGATTTTGCGATTCACTCGCAAGGGTATGGTTCGCATTACCAAGGTGTGTATCCGGTGAAATGCAATCAGGACCGGTTCATTGTGGAAGACATAGTGAAATTCGGGTCTCCTTTCCGGTTCGGGCTGGAGGCCGGCTCCAAACCGGAGCTCCTCCTGGCCATGAGCTGCCTCTGCAAAGGTAACCCCGAGGCTCTTCTGGTCTGCAATGGTTTCAAAGATGCCGAGTACATTTCGCTTGCTTTGGTTGCAAGGAAGCTCCTTTTGAACACAGTGATTGTGCTTGAACAAGAGGAAGAGCTTGATTTGGTGATCGACCTGAGTCAAAAGCTAGGCGTTCGACCTCTCATCGGTGTCAGAGCAAAGCTGAGAACCAAACATTCCGGCCATTTTGGATCTACTTCTGGCGAGAAAGGGAAGTTCGGATTAACAACCACCCAAATTCTTCGAGTAGTGAACAAGCTCAAGCAATCGGGAATGCTAGATTGTTTACAGTTGCTGCATTTTCATATCGGATCTCAGATCCCTTCCACGGCCTTGCTCAGCGACGGTGTAGGCGAGGCTGCTCAGATCTATTGCGAATTAGTCCGCCTCGGCGCCTCCATGCGCTTCATTGATATAGGCGGAGGCCTAGGAATAGATTATGATGGTTCGAAATCAGCAAATTCGGATATTTCTGTCAGCTATGGACTCGACGAGTATGCTGCCGCAGTTGTTCAGGCGGTCCGGTTCGTTTGCGACCGCAAGTCAGTCAAGCACCCTATGATTTGCAGCGAGAGTGGCCGAGCCATCGTCTCTCATCACTCAATTTTGGTTTTTGAGGCTGCTTCTGCTAGCACATACGATGTGCCGCCGTTATCTTCGGCGAGTCTCACGTATTTGGTGGAAGGTCTCACAGAAGATGCTTGTAACGACTACCAGAATCTCTCTGCTGCGGCGATTCGTGGTGAATATGATACTTGTTTGCTCTATGCTGATCAGCTTAAGCAGAGATGTGTAGAACAGTTCAAGGAAGGGTTATTCGGTATGGAACAACTTGCCGCCGTTGATGGATTATGTGACATGGTATCCAAAGCAATCGGAGCTTCCGATCCAATTCGTAAATATCATGTGAATTTATCCGTTTTCACATCCATTCCTGATTTTTGGGGCATTGGTCAGCTGTTCCCAATTGTTCCGATTCACAGGCTCGATCAGAAGCCCGGGGTGAGAGCTATATTGTCAGATTTGACATGTGATAGTGATGGGAAGATCGACAGTTTTATAGGCGGCGAGTCTAGCTTGCCGCTTCATGATATGGAAGGCGACGGTAGTGGTGGTTGTGGACGGTACTATTTGGGGATGTTCTTGGGCGGGGCTTATGAGGAGGCACTCGGAGGCCTTCACAATCTGTTTGGTGGCCCAAGCGTGGTGCGCGTTTTGCAGAGTGACGGACCCCACAGCTTTGCGGTGACGCGTGCCGTGCCGGGGCCTTCGTGCAGTGATGTGCTCCGGGTGATGCAGCACGAGCCCGAGCTCATGTTCCAGACACTCAAGCACCGTGTGGAGGAGTTGGTGCAGGACGATGATGGCGATGGCTCAGCCCAGGCTTCTATAGCCAACGGTCTTGCTCAATCCTTCCACAACATGCCTTATCTTGTGGCTAGCTCTTCTTGCTGCTTGACCGCTGCTGCTGCTACCAACGGTAACAACGGTTATTACTATTGCAAGGATGACAACAACTATGTCACTTCTGTCGAATCGTCCAATTGTGAGGACGAGCAGTGGTCGTATTGTTGTGCCTGAGTTGGTTGGTCTAGTCTTACTTTGCATCCCCACCACAACCATATTTAGTGGTTGGTTCGTTTGTTTGTCGTTGAGGTCGTCTGTTTCTGTTCCTTTTCTTTTTCTTTTTTCTTCTGTGTTCTGTTTAATTTTGTTCATTTCTCTTTTTATTTAGTAATGGACAACAATTAAGGACAATTGCATGGTATAAAGTTTCCTTTTGGTAGAATGGTGGTTTGAATTGCTTTAAAAAAAATATTGTGATGAGCTTAAGTTAAGCTCGGGCTCTTTTCCATTGATTCTGTTGATTTAGTTTAGCTAATTAAATCTCATGGACTAGTTGAATTAGTAGAAAGAGCTTTTTAGAATAAAAATTCAAAACCAAGGATTTTTTTGGATGCATTTCTTGGTATTACTCCATTCAAGGAGATAGAAATTCCTTTTTAATAATCACTATTCATTTGGTAATAATAATTTTTTAATTTTAATAGGTGAGAGAGTGAGCTTACTTTAAGAGTGCTATGATTGATTGATGCTTTAAATGGTGTTTATAATTTATAGAAAATTTAACCTCACCTCTCTCTTTGTTAATTTGCGACACAGTCTGTGTAGGGCCTTTTACACCGTTGTTATTACTGGTCTGTTTGTGAGAAGGGGTTGGGTTTCAGTAGCGAAGTTAAAGTAATGGATTCTTGTGGGGTCTGATTGATATTTGGTTTGCTTGCCGTCCGGGGATTGTAGTTTCTTCTTTGACCCAAGTAGGAGGTTTGTGTAAACGATAATTACGTGATGGTGATCTTTCAAAGTTGCCATGTGTTCTGGTGCCAACAGCCCAAAACGCGTGGCTCTAGGGGGTTGGCTAAAGCACGTGAACTCTTTTATTATTGTTCTTTACTTCTTACCAGTACGAAAATTTATCTTCTTTATTTTCTTTATAATTTGATGTTTTGCCATCGCTCATTTTGTATGTAATGTTTCTTGGATTTTAGTATAAACATGTTTTAGGTAGCAGAAGTGCTGTAAAAATCAGAAACATTTGAGTTGTAAAAAGAAAAAGAAAGAAACCTTTTAGAGAATATATACCAATCATCATTCTAATGCATTTAGATGTCCATGAACTTGAATTTTAATTCATGTTTTGGCTTTTTTGTGCTTAGTTATTGTTTATTGACATTTTTAATACATTTAAAATTGATTTTATATTATAACAGCCTGAAAATTGAAAAAAAAAAAAATGGAGGTGAACAAATACTAAAAAAAAATGTGATTTATGGATTTGCAGTTAAAAATTGTGTGGACTGGAACTGCTTTAATACCACTTTTAACAAGTCCTACAAAATTGTTGCCATCCACTCATCTTTATAAACCGGTGGACAAAAACATCTAAGATGGTGGAGATCACTAACAAACTTTGCAATAAAGTAATATAATTGTTACTCACATGCAGTGGGGATGACATTTTCTTATTTGTGTCAGGAGACCATTTTCTTATGTGTCAGGAGACCATTTTCAATGCACACTGTTTTTGAGCCACAAAGTTTGACCTTATCTCTAGTCTCATGGCAATAAATTTTTTTTTTGGCAAGTCAAGGCAATAATTGTGTTTGGTATTTTTCATGTTTGGACTTGGGCTAGGGCCTGGATTGGAAAATCAAATTGGATGGTGAAATACTTTCAAAAACTTGTTTTTACCTTTTGCTTGGCTACTGGGCTAAGATCCACTCATAATTGGGCCTCTATGTTTATATGTACATACACACACCATCATCATTGTGTCCATTGCACTTGTATGTTTATATGTACACACAAATACATATAAATATAAACTTTTAGAATTTGAATAGTTGCTATTTGTTGAAGAACTAAATTGAAGTTACTTGACATAGCAGCATCATGTTTGTTTTTGAATTCTTGATCTTCTTCTTCCAGTAGAGGGCTGGGCCAGTTGATTGCATGGTGAGCGTTCTGGACATAGTAAATACGGTATATTTTTTTTGATTTCAAGTGTTTTATAGTTTGATTATAATGAGTGTGTTGTGTTGAAGAATGTACATTTGCTTACTAACGAGGTATTCTTTATTTTTTTAATGGATTTCAAGTGTTTTACAGTTTGATGACAATGAGTGTGTTGTGTTGAAGAATGTAAATTTGCTTTTTAATAATGTGTTCTTTGGTTGCAAGTTTGGAAGAACTTCTCTTGTTTTGGACAGAAATTTTGAAACAATCTTTGCTTTGGAAAAAAGAAGAAGAAGAAGAAACTAGGAAAAAAAGAAAAAAGAAAAGAATAGTTAATTGTTGTCTGAACAGTGCCAAAATTGAGTATTGCATTTTTCATGCTGGATGGTTTTGGGAGGTTCTAATTCCTTAAATATTTTTTTTATTGCATTATCTGTATAGCTTATTTATTTGTTTCTGGTTGCTATAAAAAATTACGACAGATAATAACATTATTATTGATATTTAATTTTGATTTTTTTTTTTTATTATTATTAGAAATGTCACGATTCAATTTTTTGGTGGTGGTGATTTAGTTCATCAATGGATATGGATACCATGGAACATCGTTTGAGAAGACGTGCCGATGTTACCCTGCATCTTTTATTGATAAGATTGGAAGTTTTCCTCATTGTGGTTCATTTTAGTTCTGATAGTACTAATTTGCTGCAGCTATTTATGGAATTAGAAAAGACTAATTATTACAGCACTTACTAAAAGAAAAATTCGTCATCCTTTTATGTCACTGCTTCTTAAATGTATCATTATGTATGTGATCTTTACAAGCCCTAGATAGTCCAGAACCTTGCAGAGTGCATATGTTACAATTTTGTAATGAAGTCAGGCAGAATGCCAATTATGGTTTCATGGCATCTCTGCTCTTTCTTGAGGAGGGGAAAAAAGAAGAAGAAAAAGTGACAGATAAAAAAAAGTGACGTACTTTTCCTGTGTATAGCCAAGAACTTGAATGTATAGCCTAGATCTTGAAATTTGTTTAACTTCTTCACAATGACCTCGGAAGCTTGTTATACATAATGTGTATTCATTTTGTAATGAATATATTGATTATTTTTATTTGTGAGGTTCCAGTTATAATGCCTCCCTCAGCCCTTAACCCGCCTAGGTCAGTTGATTTATTTGAATATATTTTCTTGTTTGAGCTTCACAATGCTGCTGTTGAATGATGTTCTCACTGTGGGGTTTTGAAGTTCACCGCAGAAGGCATGGTATATATGCCTTATTGGATAGGCATTCAATTATGCTATGTGTCTATGCTTGAAATTGTGTGATTTTGATTAGGTCAGTTTAGTGGTGGAAAGCTGCTTCGAGGTCTTTTAGTTTTTATGATTTAGTGATTTACTTTGAATTCTTTCTTGTAGATGATGGAGAACCTGCTCTCACAAGGAGGAGATATCGTGTGAGTGAAAATTGTGTCCCTTTCAAAGGGGAACTGTGTTGAACTGCGACAACACATGATGGACTTCCTGGATATTTTCAACCCAAAGTTATGTGAGTTCATGATTCTTACATTTATTTTCTTGTTGGGCTATGATATTCCGTCAGCCATTAATGTTTGTTTCTTCAGTTTGGGAGGGAGTTCTGAAGGTAACTCATAATGATGTTGTGCGGTGTATCATTTCACAATGTTCCTTTCCTATTTTGTTACCTATTGCCTTCAGATCTCTTCAGTCATTACTCCACTAACTTTTAGTATAATGGTTTGAAATGCTTTAGAAAAATGGTTGTGATGTGCGAAGGTAATTGCTATTTAAAACGAAAATTTTAATTCAGAATACTATGCCTCATAATGAAAATCGCTCGACTAGCATTCAGTTAGATTATTAGGTTTGAGAATCATTATCAATTTAATAATACACAGATAGTGAGCTTACTTTAAGAGATGCTTTAATTGATTTGTTTTTAAAAAAACAATAAAAATTCCCCCTAAATTTAAGCTCTCCCCCATCCACTCTAATGTTGATACTGTAGACATTGACTCAAATTCTGCCTAGGTATTGAAATTTATGCCCTTATTTTACATATTCAACTCGACATTATGGTTGGCAGCTACTTTTTTTTATATTTATGTTATCCATTCTATAATCAAATGAATGTTCTCCTTCGTTCATTCAGGTCAAGTGGCTCCAGCTAAATATCTGACAGTTATGCCGTTCTTGAAGTGTATTGTTGAATCCTGCAGGAAGCTGCAAAAGCTATAGACTAACCCCGAAAGAAAGAAGAGCCAAAGTTCCAGCCTTTATGGGGAAGAAGTTACTCAAGGATTAATTGGATTCACTATCCATCAGTCAATGCCTTCAACATTTATTTTTGCTCCCTTACGTTGTGGGACAGGAACTATAGAAATTATATCGAACCTGGATTTGTATCTATAAAATGAACTAGACACTGCAGAAATCTGCCCATCTCAGCTGCCTGCCTTTACGCGGTGCTAAGGTTACCAAATGTCAAATTTGTGTACTCTTATGGAAGCTATGTGATAATTCGACCTTGATTCCGTGAGAATTATGGGTGAATCATTGGTAGAAGCACTAAACCTTAAAGATAAGGTACATCCTATTTATTATTTTGATCAGTTAAATGACACCCATTTGTTTAAATGGTTTCCTCTGATTGTGTCTTACCATTCTCCCTTTTATTTTTATTTTATTTTATTTTATTTTTTTCTTTTTTCCTTTTAATTTTTTTTATTTCCATCTCAAAGTTCAAATACCGAAACCGAAATGCCAATAGTTCCTACAAATTAAAATTGAAATCAAAATCATTGAGATGTGGAACTGAACCATGAAGATGAATCGGGTTCTATTATTTTATTTTATTTTATTTTATTATCAAAAAAGAAAAGAAAAGAAAAGAAAAGAAAAAAAAAAAACTGATTAAAAGCAAGAAAATTTGCTATTGGTGGTGTTGGGGTTCTTGCAGCTTCTGACTTCCTACAAATTGACCTCTGAATTGGGTTTGCTACTTCGATCTGGGGCATCGTCATGCTCAACATTTGGTGCTCACATTTTGTACGGGCTTTAGCCTTTGTTTTGGTATGGGCTTTAATAGTAACTATAACAAGTGAACGCTTACCTATTTATTCAAAATCTCGAACTATTAGATAGTGTTACATACTCACCCATTTATACCCAATCACTTTCCCATTCGATTCCGATGTAGGACAAATAACCCTTGTTACATTCTCCTCTACCCAAACCGCATGAAGTCGTTGCG